ATCCCAATAATCTTACCCTTTTTCCATTCTCCTCCCTTTCACCTCTCTCGCAGGAGCCGGGCAGAACCTCCTGTGCTTGAAGCTCGCCCAAGAAATGGGCGTGGCAATTCCGAACGCCTTTGCCACGTGGATGGGGATGGCAGTGGTACCTGGGATGCTGGGCCTGCTGGTCACCCCCATGCTCATGTTTAAGGTGTTTTCCTCCCCTCTCGATCATCCACCTTTCTCCATTCTCGCCCCCTCTTCCCCCTTCCCCCCTTTGCCTTTCTTGCAGGCGCGGGACAGAACCTGCTCTGTATGAAACTAGCGCAGGAAATGGGAGTGGCGATCCCAAACGCCTTTGCCACGTGGATGGGGATGGCAGTGGTACCTGGGATGCTGGGCCTGCTGGTCACCCCAATGCTCATGTTTAAGGTGTTCCCACCAGAGGTCAAGGAAACGCCTGAGGCGCCGGGGCTGGCGAAGAAGCGGCTTGAGGAGATGGGGGCTGTGAGCGGGAAGGAGATGATCATGATTGGCACCATGGGACTCGCAATTACCATGTGGATCATGGGGTGAGTGCGATGGGTGTTGGTGTGCCGGTATGCTAGTGTGCGTGTCTAGGCCTTGGCTGGTCACCACCATGCTCATGTTCAAGGTGTTTGCTCCCGAGGTTAAGGAGACGCCAGAGGCGCCGGGGTTGGCAAAGAAGCGGCTGGAGGAGATGGGGGCTGTGAGCGGGAAGGAGATGATCATGATTGGCACCATGGGGCTTGCAATCACCATGTGGATCATGGGGTGTGATGGGGTTTGCTGGTGTGTGTGTAGTGTGGGCAGGAGGGGGGTATGCATTGTTGTGTGGGTCTGGGCATTCTCTCTCTCTATCATTGCTCACCATCCCCTTGCAGCTCGGTCGTCTCTCCCCTCTCCTTCCCCCTCCCCTCTCCTTCCCCCTCCCCCAATGCAGCGAATCACTGGGCATTCCCAGTGTGGTAACCGCCATGTCAGCGCTCTCCCTCCTTCTCTCAGGCATTGTCTCATGCTTCTTTTGCTTCCCTCCCCCACTGCCCCTTCCCCCAAACCAGCGAATCACTGGGCATTACCAGTGTGGTAACCGCCATGTCAGCGCTCTCCCTCTTGCTCCTCTCGGGCGTCGTCTCATGGTCTGACTGCCTCTCAGAGCGATCAGCCTGGGACACCCTCATGTGGTTCTCTGGTCTCATTGCCATGTCCGCCCAGCTCACTCTGCCCCTCTCCCTGCTCCCCCCCTGCTTTCCGCCTGCTCTCGCTTGCCCCCTTCTCCCCTCCCCCTCCCTCTCCTCTGCCCCTTCCCCAAACCAGCGAATCACTGGGCATTCCCAGTGTGGTAACTGCCATGTCAGCGCTCTCCCTCCTCCTCCTCTCAGGCGTCGTCTCATGGTCTGACTGCCTCTCAGAGCGATCCGCATGGGACACCCTCATGTGGTTTGCTGCTCTCATTGCCATGTCTGCCCAGCTGACCCACATGGGGGTGGTGGGCTGGATGGCCGATGGGGTTGCTGGGGGGCTTGGGATGGTCCCTGGGGGGATTCTGGCTGGGGATATGGCGACAGGGGGGATGTTGGGGGAGGAGATGGGGGGAATGGCGGGGATGCTGGGGGGAGATTTGGGGGAGATGGTTGGGGCGGGGTTGGCGGCAGTGGGAGCGGGAGCGGGGGGAGCGGTAGCAGCGGCAGGAGCGGCAACGGGAGCAGTGGCAGCAGCGGGAGGGGCGGCGTTAGAACCAATGACTAGTGCCGTAACCGCTACTGCCATCACCACTACTGCCGCCGCCCTACCACCCCTAGACTCCCCAGCAGAACTAACTTGGGTCTCCAGTTTCTTCCAGCTGCAAGTACTCTACTTCCTCGCGCATTACCTTTTTGCCAGCCAGACAGCCCATGTGGGGGCGCTCTATGCGGCTTTCCTTGCCATGCAGCTAGCGGCTGGTGTTCCCGGGGAGGTTGGTGCATTTGCGCTGGCGCTAAATACGAATTTGTTTGGAGCGATTACGCATTATAGCAGCGGGCAGGCGGCGCTGTATTATGGAGGTGAGCGATAATGGTTGTTTTGTAGTTGCCTGTGATTGATGGGTAGCAGATTGTTATGTGTTTCTATGTTTTTTCCGCTCGCATACACTGATATTTGTCGCTGTGTTGGTGGTTCTTGTTGCAGCTGGTTATGTTAGTCTCCCTGACCTGTTCAAGATTGGAGGTATTTCTGCCATTGTCAACCTGGTTCTTTGGACATCAGTATGTTCTATCATGTGGAAGCTCCAAGGAGTATTTTAGGCTTGACAAGGATTGCGTTTTTTTCGGCGGTGCTGATTTTGTCCGTTATGTTTATTTGGCGGATACTTATTCCCTTTAGTTCCAGTGTACTTAGCCCTAATTTATAGTATTGAGTTGGTTCAATTGGTTCAGTACAACTTCAGCTGTTTCCAATAACGCCAAATTAGTACCGCCATCATCGCCTTGTGGTCTGCTAAGATATAAACCAATCACAATCGTTCAAATCAACACATTGTACCTTCCGTATGTGCTTTGGCTCGGCTTCACCTCCACCCATACCAGGGGCTTTTTGTCTCACCCTGGTTTGTGGCTTGTCGAACCAGTCTCCGCCCGAAGTGAGAAGCCTCACCCACAACGACGTCGGGCGACATGTCAGAGATCGCCGTCACTTCATGTCGGTTGTCCTGCGACCGTCGAAACTAGTGGTGCGTACACCAGAGTGTCGCATGAAGGTCGCGTTCATCGCCCACCATCCCCCTTCACACAGTTGTCCCTAAGGGGGTGTCTGAAGTGAAACGTCGACGGACGCTGCAGTTTCGTCGGGGGATGTCGGCGAATCTCCACCCTCGGATCGAGCATTCCGACCGTCAAGATTCATCGACATTCCCTCCCCTGGGATTTGCTGTTATCGCCGCTCTCCGCCAAACTCAAACCTACCACAAACCAGATGACTGCGCCACACCCATACTGGTCCAGTGCATAGCTATTCACACCTGAACACCACACGCAAAAGTTTCTAGCAATTCCCCCACCAATTTTTTTCCGTACCCGAGCCATCCAAATCAAGCGGACCAAGGGTCCAGGCTGCATCCATGCCTGTAATGATTTTTCAGTCCATTCCCAACTAGAGGTCTCTACCGAACCAGAGCAACTCATCCTGCAACTACCGAGGTAGAAGCTGCCAAGCCCCTTAGGGTTACAGAAGGTTTTGACACGGTTGTTTACGCAATAATACGATACAGCGTGTTTCAGTGTGTTTTGTGTTGCAGCCGTGCCCCACCCTCGGATTCCTCTGCACTATTGGTGCCTGCTCGATGTCTTCGAGGGGGCTGTTCGTATGGCAGCGATAGGAGAAGCATGTGGGCAATTTCAAGGGTCTGAAATGGAGGCGGGAGGGAGGTGAAAGCTCGAAACGAAACAAACACTTTTTGTGGTGAAGTGAAAGGGTTGTTGGTTCGGCTGGCATGTCACCGCTGGCGCCGCCTTGACCTTGAACGGGATTTGCGGAAGGCTCGTTACCTTGCATGTTTAGGAACCGGGCGATTGTGTGATCTTGGATTTGACGTGTCGCATCGGCCTTGTTCCCGGAGGCAGATTCGTTCGTGTTTTACAACACTCGTCTGTTCCGTCTCTCGTCTTTTGCAGCCCTGTACATACGTCTCGGAAATAATGGCTTCAAACCGACTTAGGAATATCCAGTCTACATAACGGATTCGCCATCCATGGTCGAGTGTTAAGTAACCCCCCAGAGTCCCGTCATAGAGTTCGTGTGCCTAGTAACTTGACTAACCCCCTGTGGATTGACCAACCCAGGATTCGCGCGGCAGCCTTGAAACGTGGATTCGAGACCTTTTTAAACGTGTGCAGACGTAGAATGAGATTTAGTTTGTAAGCTAAGGAATTCGAGGCGTGCATTTGGGAAAAGTCACTGCGGAGGAGGTGAGAAGGCGAGGAGTCGTGTTTCGAAGCGAGGTTCACGAGGAAAGCGGTTCAAGAGGAAAGCGGTTCAAGAGTGCATAAGAGGGATGGACGCATGAGGGAATCGGCGTCGCACGAGGGAATCGTCGCACAGGAGACGAAGAGGCGGACACGCCGTGCTCCTCCCGCGTCGCCGTCATCTGCAACCGATTCTAGAATCTAAGGAGCTTCAGAGCCTCTGACTCAACGCCGTGTCCCTCCCGAAATAACTGTTGAGTCGACTCAAAAGCCACCGTGCCATCTGACTCGACGCCGTGTGTCTCAAACAGCGACTGCCGGTCGGCTCGTTTTCGAATCTCTCTGGGACGGCGTCATCTTCGTTACCGTTGCTTCCTACTTAGGCGCCGGGCAGGCGCCGCGCCGCCGCTGTGTAAGTAAGCTCGTCCTATGCTTTTGAGAGTCACAGTGTGAGCTTGTAGTCTCGGGGTAGAGGTCGCTCTCCTCTGTACCTGCGCGCCGAACGCTTGTCGGTATACTTGTTTCAAATCACTGTGCCTCTCTTCGCTCGGCGTGTCTCTCGTCGTCAGTCTGTCTTTTGCGCTGGTTGTTCCGCCTTCCGCTTACCTGCTTCCACCCTCCCCCCTACCCTCTTCCGCCCTGTTTCGCAGCATGGCATCTGCGGGGTTTCTCTCCCGCAGATGGCGCGGCCTTACCCAGCAAGGTTCCGCCAGCGCGCTTTCCTCCGCCAGCGCGGTTTCGTCCGCCAGCGACGCGGGGACCGCCGGAAGCACGTCCTTGCGCCGCCACGACTCGGGTTCGAGTCCTGACACCGACACTTCTTTCAGCTCACCTATAACGCACATGGGTTCGGGCCCTTTAACGGGGACAGTGGGAGGGAGGCGGCGCGGGGAGGTCGCGGGGAGAGGGACGTTGGGCACAGCTGGGGCTACGAGCGAATCTAGAAGCGAATCTAGGAGGAACGAATCTGTAGCAAGATTCGCTTATGATGACGATAGCCTGTCTCCCGCGAGGCGGCGTCCCCCAGGATTAGGGCGGCGCGCACTGTCGTTTGGTATGTCGCCGTGGCGCTTTGACTATAACGACGCCGCTACTAACGCGGCTTCTGGCGAAACCGCCCCTGTGAGAGGATCTAGCAGCGTACGGCAGAGGAGGCGGGGGTTTTCGCGCAGAGGAAGGGCGGGGGAACGGGCGAGTGGAGGCGCGGATTCGTCCCCCTTGACGCCCGCGGGCGCGCGGACGGGGGGGGCTGCGCGCCTGTGGGCCGGGCGGAACAGCAGCGCGTCCGCAGATGGAGAGTTCCCCAGGGGAGCTGGGGGGGGCGCCGCCGTGGCTGCTGCTGCGGCGGCTGCGGCTGCCGCGGCGGCTGCGCTAGCAGCAGCGGAAGAGGCGTCAGGAGGAGGATTTGTGGACGTTCCCCTTGACGAATTCCGTCAGATGTCTGTCAGAGGCACAACGTAAGTCGTTTTTCGAAGGGGTTTTAAGCTGAGCGAGTTTTGAAGCTTGCTATAGCCAAGTAGTGCTTGGTATATCGCTCAAAAGCCAAGTAGTGCTTGGTATATACTGGCGCACTCTCCACTTTCAGTCGTGGCTCTCCATCCTCCTGATGTTTTCGTTCATCCCTTGCGCACTCTCCACTTTCAGTCGTGGCTCTCCAGCATCCCCACCGCATCTCACCTCATCTGACCGCAGATCATCTTCCAGAGGTACACTGTTGAGGCTAGCGCCGTGACCATGCTATCTTCTCAAATGTCTTCATGTTATTATTCCATCCTATTCTGTTTTTGATTTCATGCAAACCAAGATGTTCATTTCGTGGAACGACCCCATGTCATCCGCATGATCCTAATGACGCCATGCCATCTTAATGACGTCATGCCATCTTATTGACATCATGTCATCCACATCATCGAACAGTGCGCAGATGGCTCTCCTCCCTCAATGTGATTGGTCGCGTGCGCCGCGACCGCCAAATCGGTGACCGCCAGCTCAGCGCCTCATCATCCATGCGGGCGGCTCACCGTTTCCAGGCACCTTCCTCTCCTCGGGGGCACTCAACCGAGCAGCAGCAGCAGCAGCAGCAGCAGCAGGGGCAGGGGCGGCAGGGAGAACAGGGGCAGGATCAAAGGCAGGAACAGGAACAGGCGCAGGGGCAGCAGGGGCAGGGGCAACTGGCGCAGGGGCAGGGGCAGGTTGCAATTAGAAATTACATGGTCAGTGGGGGTCATAGTTTCAACAGTGGTTACAGCCCTAGCCGCGGATATAGCCCGAGCCGGTTCAGTCCGAGCCGGGGGTTTAGTCCGAACCACAGGTTCGGTGGGAGTTTTAGTGGTGATGTGAGTGGGGGTTTAAGTGGCGGTGTGAACGGAAGTGAGTCTCCTAGTGCCATGCAGACACAGCCAAATCCCCACCAGCAGTATCAGCACTATCGGCAGCAGTATAACCACCAACTTCAGCAGCAGCAGCAACAGCAGCAGCTGAATTCGAATCAGAACCATTATCATTATCATCAAAACCAGAGTGAGCAGGAACAGCTGCAGCAGCAGCAGCAGGCGGTGCTATTTCCTTTCCGCCAGCCCTTCAGGGAGCTTCAAACGGGGGGAGGCGCCATCCCCGTGTTCCCATACCCGTCCCCACAACACCCCCTCCTCCAGTCCCCCAACGGCCATCCTTCCACCCCTAACGCACTCCATCCCTCCAGTTCTCCTGTGCTTCAATCCGCCAATATCCTTCATCCCACCAACTCCCCTCTGCACCAAGCCATGTCTAATCGGACCTCCCCTTCCTCCTCCCCCTCCCCCAACTCCCCCCGCCTGCACCCGTCCTCTCAACCGCACCTAACCTACTCCAACTCCTTGCCGTTCCGGACGCTTCAGAATCTTCCTGTGCTGCCTCCTTTGCCGGATCAGGATGATGGGGACGACGGCCCGCCGCCCGTTGTTGCCACCCGCCCGGCCACGGCTCACTCCAGTCCAAGCCCTGCCGCCCCGGCCCGCGCTGCAGTCGCTGCTACGGTGACTGATTCGCCGCTGGTGCTGTTTCGAGACAGGGAGAGGAGTCGGGAGAGGGAGGAGAGGGAGGGAGGAGGGGAGAGGGAGAGGGGGAGGGAGAGGGAGAGGGAGAGGGATGGGGAGAGGGAGATGGGTGGAGAGCGGGAGAGGGAGCGGGAGAGGGAGCGGGAGCGGGAAAGGGAGAGGGAGAGGGAGAGAGGTGGGGGTTTATCGTCGGCTCGTCTTCCCAGGTGGTTGCGGTCGCGCTGGGCGAGAAGGAACGGTGAGGCTCTTTTATTTCCCCCTTTAGAGTCGACTCAATAATATGTCATCTGCTTGTCTTCCCAGGTGGTTGCGGTCGCACCGGGCGAGAAGGAATGGGGCGCCTGGCCCCCACTCCCCATCCCCTCCTCCTCCCCAGTCCCTCCTCCTTCCCATCCCTTCCTCCACCTTCCCCCTTTCCTCCCCCTCATGTTGAACCAGATTTTAATATCATCCGTTCCCTCCTTCCTCCATTCTCTTTGAGATGCCCAACCTCTCCCCCGTCCCATCCCCCAGCCCCGTCAGAGAAGCGCCGGACGATTTCTTTTGGCAGGGGGAGATGAGCGAGGAGGACTCGGGAGTGATTGAGGCAGCCATGCATATTTCCCCCCCTCCCCTTTCCCATCCCCTCCCAATTCCCTCCCCCCCCCCCCACCCCCCTTCATCCCATCCCCCGGCCCCCTGCTCTTCCCCGGCCCCTTCCCCGTCTCAGCCCCGTCAGCGGAAGCACCAGACGATTTCTGGTGGCAGGGGGAGATGAGCGAGGAGGACTCGGGGGTGATTGAGGCAGCCATGCATGCCATTCTCATGGATGGGCTGGCCGGCGCTCTGCAAGGAGGAGGAGGGGGAGCGCTGGGAGGGGGGCTGCATGGAGCGGGAGAGAGGAGGTTGATGGTGCCGCATATGTTGTTGTTCGAGGATGAGGAGGCGTGGACGTATGAGCAACTGTTAGAGCTGGATCGGAATAACGTCAGACGGTGAGTGAGTGGTTTGGTTTAGTCGTCTAGTGGGGTAGAGGTGGTGCAGTTCAGTGTTGTTGTTTGAGGATGAGGAGGCGTGGACGTATGAGCAGCTGCTGGAGCTGGATCGGAATAACGTCAGACGGTGAGTGGTTGGCTTTTGAGTGGTTGGCTTTTGAGTGGTTGGCTTTTGAGTGGTTGGCTTTTGAGTGGTTGGCTTTTGAGTGGTTGGCTTTTGAGTGGTTGGCTTTTGAGTGGTTGGCTTTTGAGTGGTTGGCTTTTGAGTGGTTGGCTTTTGAGTGGTTGGCTTTTGAGTGGTTGGCTTTTGAGTGGTTGGCTTTTGAGTGGTTGGCTTTTGAGTGGTTGGCTTTTGAGTGCTTGGCTTTTGAGTGCTTGGCTTTGAGTGCTTGGCTTTGAGTGCTTGGCTTTGAGTGCTTGGCTTTGAGTGCTTGGCTTTGAGTGCTTGGCTTTGAGTGCTTGGCTTTGAGTGCTTGGCTTTGACCACATGTTTTGGGTGGAAATGGGTGTTCGTTGAATGGAGGGAAGCATGCACGTATGAGGCTTAGTTACACTCCCTTATTTTTCGATTCCACGGCGCCCCCCCTTCCTCGCGCCACATCCGCTCCTCTCCTTCTCCCCCCCTCTCCCCACAGCGGGCTGAAGCAGCAGGGGATGTGGAAGCTGGATCGGCGCAAGGTGAAGGAATGAGGACGAGATGGCTTGATCGTTGCTCTACTGACCTCATTGGCCCCCTTCTCTTCCCCTGTTATTATTCTGCCTGTCTCTCATGCAGCGGGCTGAAGCAGCAGGAGATGTGGAAGCTAGATCGGCGCAAGATGGCACATGGGGACGAGAGGGTGGATTGCCAGATCTGCCTGTCTGAGGCCGTGGCAGGGGAGCTTTTGACTTCCCTGCCTTGCAAGCACACGTACCAGTGAGTGGGGGTTGAAGGTCCTGCTGCTTCCCATCCCACCTGCCATGAGGGGGAGCATGGGGACGAGAGGGTGGGCGTGGGGATGAGAGAGTGGGCATGGGGACGAGAGAGTGGGTTGCCAGATCTGCCTGTGTGAGGCTGTGGCAGAGGAGCTGCTCACCTCCCTGCCGTGCAAGCACACGTACCAGTGAGCAGGGGTTGAGGGTCCTATTTCCACCAAAGCCAGTGGTCACTTTATCACTGCAAGTAAGGTGGTGACTTTTTGAGTCAACTCAGAAGTCTCCTTTTTCACAACACACCAGCGATCTCAGCACCACTGCAAGTAAGATGGTGACTTTTGAGTCAACTCAAAAGTCACCTTTCCGACACTCGCTGAAATCAGCACCAGTGGTCAGAGCATCTCTGCAAGTAAGCTCTCGTCTTGTAGCATTCTTTTGAATCAAAACTTGTTTGCTGCTACAGCAGCAAGGGGGTTGAGCCAAGCCAACAATGTGCATTTTAAAATGTATATGTATGTGTATATATACATATACGTATGTATGTGTATATATTATGCCTTGGTTTCCACTCTCCTACTGCGACAAGTCATCCATTTTTTCCTCCCTCCTGCCCTACATTCCAGCTCTTCCCCCTGGTTCGTGTCACCCTCCATACAGCGACTCCTGCATCTCCCCCTGGTTCAAGACCCACCGCAAGTGTCGCATCTTTGAGATGACTCAGAAATCCAGCTCTTCTCTATAACCCCCCCTCCTCCCAACCCCCTCCCCCTCCTCCTCCCCCCCCCCCCCCCCCGTGCCACCCTCCACACAGTGGCGCATGTATCTCCCCGTGGTTCAAGACCCACCGCACGTGCCCCGTACTTGAGACAACTCAGAAATCCCCATCTTTCATTTGTGTCACACCCTCCATACAGCGACGCCTGCATCTCCCCGTGGTTCAAAACCCACCGCACATGCCCCATCTGCCGCTTCGAAATCGCCGATTAGCATGAAAAACTGGCCCAGAATACCAGCTGAAGCAGACAGAACAACACTCCGGCGTGGTTCAAAAACTAAACTCTGTTTCATCTGGAAACTGTCTGCTTTAGGACGCACTGCACGTGCCGCAGCTGCCGCTTCGCTCGAGATCGCCATCTGGACTCCAAAATCTGGCTCATCTCATCTCGTCTCGCTCGCTCGCTCGCTTCGCCGCATCTCGTTGTGCGGCTGGCTGGGTTGAACACGCACGGATGTTGATTGGGATTTGCAATGTTATGTTTGTGGACAGGATCGCTGGTATACCCTGTACTGTTTGGTAGGACCAGATTCGGTCGTCTCTCGTGTAAACACAGTCTCTCCTTGGCATGTACTTAGGTTCTCATGGAAGGGTTAGTGTGCTATGCTGAGTTCTTCTTGTGACAGCAGTGTCATTGGTGCTATGCTTGGACGTGGGTGTGCTACGGTACTATAGAGTTGGTTTCTTAATCTTGGGATTGTTATTCCAGTTGAATAAAGCATTACAAGTTACGGTACCGTATGTTTGTCCTGTTGTCTAACATTGGAATGGAAAGCAAAAGATTGGTCTCTGACACCATAGCTGTTACGGTACGGTAAGAATGTTGCCAAATGTGAAGTACGGAAGGTTGCTTGCTGCTTTGGAAACACGCGAGACAATAAATGATACCAGAATAAAGGCATACGGTACAATGACTTAACTTCCCGCACCACACAGAATCAGGATGACAAACAGAGACGGCAAGTGTATATTTGCATAAATATGGGATCAGGAGAAATGTACAACCACCCGTATTATAAGAGAAAGGGAGGACAGGATAGTTAGTTACACATAAACCCGCTACAAGTCCGAACAGTCAGTGCTCACTTCATTTGCAACCACCTTCAAACCAGCCACTGCGACGTTTCGCGAGTAGCACCCCACACTTTTATCATTACTCGCAAAGGCGAAATGCTGCTCGACCAATTGCGAAGCTCGCTTCCGCTCCTCCTGCTGCCCCCCCTGCCCCCACTCCCCACCCCCACTCCCACTCCCACCCCCACTCCCACTACCACTACCACTCCCACCTCCACTCCCACCTCCACCTCTACCTCCACCCCCACCCCCATCCCCCCCTCTTTCAGAGATCCCGGTTCCATTTCGACAAGCGCTGTCTCGTGTCACATTGCAGCTGGTAACATTTGTAAGCGCTCCTGTAACATTCGTAGCACCAGGCGCAGAATTGGACCCGGTGTCGCGACCAGCCCTCGTGTCATTTGAGCTACTGAACGAGCCCTCGCCGACCCTAGCAGGCTGAACGCTGCTGCTGCTGCTGCTGCCACCACTACCAGTGCTGCTTTTGCTGCTGCCGCCAATATCACCGGCACCATCACTGCAGGAAGAGCAGTACTCGACATAAGATCCAAACCGTTGGTTTAAAAGGGTCTCGGAGATCGGACGGCCGACCTTCCTCCCTGACTTGTCCCTCTGTAGGTTGAATGCATAGTCTGTGTCGAGCTTGAATGACCCGTTAGCTGGCGGATTTGGTTGAGGGACGAGGGAAGGGAGAGGAGGGAAAAAGAGAGAAGGAACGAGTAAAGGAAGCAGCGTGTGTGAATGCAGATTCTGTGTCAAGCTTGAAAGAGCCGTTAGCTGGTGGTGGGTGAGGGGAAGAGAGGGGTGAATAAGAGAGAAGAGAAGAGGGGAGAAAGGAGCAGACTGAGTGGATGCATGGTCTGTGTGTCAAGCTTGAATGAGCCGTTAGCTGGCGGATTTGGTTGAGGGAGGAGGGGAGGGAAGAGAGGAGGGAAAAGGAGAGAAGAAACGAGGGAAGGTAGCAGCGTGAGTGAGTGAATGCATAGTCTGTGCCATTAGCTGGTGGTGGTTGGGGGGAGGAGGAGAGGAGAGGCAGGAGGGACGAGAGGAGCGAATAGAGGAGAGTGAAGAATAGAGGGAAGGAAGGAGCAGTGTGAGTGAATGCATAGTCTGTGTCAAGCTTGAATGATCCATGAACTGATGGTGGTGAGGGGAGGAGAGGAGAAGAGGGAAGAGAGGAGGGAAGTGAGAAGAGGATGCACGTGGATGTACAATCAGTGTCCCAAAAGCTGGTGGTGGGTAAGGGGCAGAGAAGAGAGAAGCGGGAAGAGGATGTGTGGCTCCTCTCCTCTCCGTGACTGAAATCAGCTCATTCCCCTTACCATCCCAGCTTGTAACTCTAGAGCAGCCCAGGAGATATCTCAGAGCTAGAAGGTACCATCCAAAAAAGTCATTTTGAGGTTGACAAGGAACAGGTACTGCTCAGTGACTGACTGACACAAGCTCATCCCCTTCACTATCTCAACTTGTAGCACTAGAGCAACCAGCCCAGGAGACATCTCATTGCTAGAACGTACCATCCAAAGAAGTCATTTTGAGGTTGACAGGGAACAAGTACTGTTCACTGACGGATATCTGCTCATTCCCCTTTGCATCCTTGCTCGTGACCTCCACTGAAGCTCGCGTTACATGAGACCACGCCACCAGCCCTTCGCTTCGGAAATACACAGACGCTTCTACTCCCAGGTTTCCCGTAACCTCGGTGGTAACCGCGCCGGACGAGGAGTAAACAGTGCCGGTGATTGTGTAGGAGCGGAGCGTGCTTGTAGTGAATCCGGTGCTTGTGGCAGCAGCATCGAGAGGTGTAGAGCCGTCAGCAGTGCTGGTGCTACTGCTAATGTTGCTGTTGTTGTTGCTGCTGCTGTTATTGGCCGATGCATTCGAGGGGTCAGAAGTGGAAGGCATGATGAGAGTGCTTACTATGGTGGGAACAGGAGCCTGGAGCAGGGCGGAGCAGGGAGGGTAGGGAGGCAGGGGAAAGCAAGGAGGCATAAGGTGGGAAGGGTCGAGCAGGAGAGAGAAGGAGCCAGTTAATGGGGCAAGGAGGCAAAAGGGGAAGGAGGGAGGAAAGGACAGGAGGAACTAGGGATCACGTAGAGAGGGAAAGATGTGAGAGGGAGAGGGGCTATGAGGAGGGAGAAAGTGGAGCAAACAATATCCTTTGTCACCCGGGGAAAGGATGAAGGGAAATTTCGGTGGTGGTGAAAGCATGGCAGAAGAACCAGTATGTATGCTGCTTCCATCCTGCCCACTACACCCTTCACTACGAAAACCTATATATATATATATATATATAAGTTTGCTCACATTGATGAATGGCTGTGTGCCTGAAGTAGCCTCCCGAACTGGGTCCACCCAGAGCTGGAGAACCCCCGAAACCATCCATCGGGCAGCCCGGCCGACCACGGGCACGCTGACCGAAACTTCGTGCGGCTGCCCGTCCACTAGCAGGCCGACAAACGGCGTGATGTCGAGTGAATAAGTGGGGTTGCTGAAGCAGCCGATTCCGACCAGGGGAGCCCAGAGGAGAGGGGCGAAGGCGGAGGGGTAGAGCGTGGGGAAGGGGAAAACAGCCCCTGCGAATTGGTTGTCTATGAATAGAAGGAGCTCTCGGAAGGGAGAGGATGATGAGGAGAACGAGGAGGATGAGAAAGAGGAGGACGACGACGATATTGAGGATGGGGTTAAGGTAGAGTTGGGCGAGAGCATGAAGAAGAATTCGTCGCTGTCACGCCTGGTTACCATCAGCTCGAATTTCGCCGTTACGATGTCGCGAGGCAGAGAGGGAAACGTCACAGAAGCTTCCAGTGGGGAAGAAGAGGGAGAGGAGGTGGATGCGGAATCTTCGCCCGTGATTGTGAAGGGGGTTGGGTAGGATATTCCGGGTGGTTGAAAGGAGAAGGGGAGAACAACGTCTGGAACAATGGCTCGGTTGAATCGAGTTGTCTTGAAGAAGAGGAGGTCGATGCTGACGTAGAAAACACCTGCACCAGATACGGACAAAATTGGGTGCAATGAGAAAATGGCCTTGATACACCATCAGCCCATGGTGAAACAAAGAAAAATAGGGTTACGAGGGATGAATGTATTTGCGAAAGGAATCTCTAAAGCGGTTACCTGTTAGCGTGTCGTTGACCACATTGGGGAGCGAGACGAATGCTTGCCTCTCCTGTAGGATGAATGCAAGATCCAGGCAGGAGTGAATGAGGAGACAGTGAGTGAAAGGCTCCGAGGAAGACAGAAAAGAGTTTGAAATATAATGGGAAGGAAAAAAAGGAGCACGAGAATCACCTTTGCAAGCGCGGATGCGAATGTCGTGACATCTTCTTCAAATGAGTAAGATGCCGACACACCCAAAGGCTCCACAGTACTGTGTTAGAAGGGAAGATGAGATAGGAAGAAGATGGGTGGCGTCAAAACGCATGCCACACATAACTAGAAGAAAATAAGGAGAAAAAAAAACATATTCAAGTTCTAGGAAAAAAAAAAAAATGCATGGATTTCAGGGGTACAGTTTTTGGCTGCACGAGCAGCTCACATGGATCTGGAGACCTCGAAGTTGCCGAGGAACACGGACAGCACGCGGTCGAATTGCACCCCGCTCACATTCACACGCACGCTCAGCAGCACCAGCGACCACGCCTGGCGGAAACGCAGCCAATCAGAGAAGCACATGTGGGGAACACCGAAAGGAGCGGGGTCGACAGAAAGTTGGCGTCCCCAGGCAGGGGAAATTTTGAATGTGGAAATATACAAATGGAAAGATAAAACTGGGTGTAGACTAAGAATATACTCTGACGAGAGGGGAATACGCTACAGCATGGAAAGTGATAAAAGCACGTTTTACTCGCTTGCGACCACGCGGGGACTCGGCGGGCGACTAGGTATAGAAGGCCGGGAACGGGAAGCGAGGCACGGGGAGGGTGGGGGGTGGGGGAGGGGGGGAAGGGGGAGGGGAGGAAGAGGGTGGGGGGGATCAAGGGGAGAGGGCAGCAGGTTGAGTGGTGTGGGACCGGAGGGCGTGAAGTGGATGTTTGGGGGAAGGAGAAGGGAGGTGTAAAAGACAGTGAGTTTGAGGGTCGGGCAGGGGGTAAAGAAGTTAGGGATGCGGAGATGGGCGGAAAAGCAGGGTGGAGGGTGGAGAGCAGAGAGAGAAAGCAGGATTTTGGTAACATGGTGAGAGAACAGAAGTGGTAAGTTGGCTTTTGAGAATTCTCAAAAGGGACGTACGGAGCCGCACGAAGCAGGGATGGAGTAGTTTTTCGCGACGGGTGGGTCGCCAACGGTGTCGTCGAACGATTGGTTGCGAAGCAGAGTAACGACGCACGGCTTCACCCCGCGGGGCCTTGCGATTGGCCGAGCGACCTCGAAAAACTCCACGTCATCGTCACTGGTGTCGTCGTTGCCTCCGCTACCGCCGCTAGTACCAGAACTGCCCGAATCGCTAAACGACTGAATCTTCCCTTCACTTCCCGTTTCGCTTGTTTTCGCAGGCTGTGAGTTCGTTTCAGATTGTAGCTTCAGTGAAATCGGGTAATTTCCGTCGGCTGTTCGTGGGGGCTCTAAACTATCCGGACCTCGCTGAAGCGGGCGAAAGTTGGCGAGGCCTTGCACGAGGGTTTGCGACGGTAACAACAGTGTATCATCATCGTCGTCGTCATCATCGTCTTGCGAATCCGCTTTGTAACCACTATCTACAGTAGGGGTGTCTGGCGGAGGGTTGGGCTTCGCTTGGGCGGGAGGTCTCCACGGGAAAAGGCGGAACCCACGCGCAGGGTAGGGGAAAACAGCGAGGAGGAGTGAGAGTAGAGCGAGTATAACTAGAGTGCGACGCGCCATGCTTTTCCACCACTGGAAATGTGATAATCTGTTCACGTACACAGACAGCGGGAGGGGCTAACCAATCTAGGAAGGGACGATTCGAGGAAAGGACGAGTCACTGGGTAAATGCTCGAGTCTATATGTAGCCGCTCCCGCCTAATCTCGACTATAGGATTGCTCCTGCTGCTACTTGCTGCTGCTGTAATGTTAACGAAACCATGCTGCGAAACGAACAGAGCCCATTCTGTGGATTTACGAGCGTTTACACGCGAATCACTTCGAAGCGGTTTGCTAGGCCATGGCGTTAGGTGCGTAAACCACTGTTAGGTCAAGAAATATGACGGTCCTGTGGTCGCCTCGCCAGCCATCGGCATTTGTTGTGGGCCTTGTAGGAACCATGGGTAGGTGCGTTGCAAGCGGGTCTTTGTGTCAGGAAAGGTAATTTAGAGGTACACCCTCTTTCGCGCTAGTAGAGAACCTGGTTGGAGAACGTACATGGATTGTAGAACGTCACCACGTTCAGAATGGTCTTGTCACCTACTCTACAAGCACAATGCGAAGAATGCGGTTAGGTAAGGTTATGCACTTTACGAAAAGCGTTGTCAACGTTTTCATCTGTTTGGGAAAGTTATGAAGCGATTACGGAGATTTTACGTCCTTGAGCCAGTTTGTCACGTGGTCCGGCTTTCCCCCAAGGTTGCCAAGGAACGTTTATTGGCACCAGATCGCATGAGACAAGTACTGTAGCGACGAGTCGCGCAAGGTGAAAAGGTTGAGAAAGAGGGTGTAGAAGCCTCGGCGTATTGTTGATTCCTAGGCAAGTGCAAGGGTGTTTCTGTCAGAAAACATCCAGCCCTCCCGTTCCGTTTGGTTGGTTGGTTGATATGATAGTTTGGTCTAGGCTGGCATCTTCATTCTCGACGCGATTCGAGGAAGCCTGTGCTACTCTTGTTCGTTGCCGTGCTGTCATGTTGTTGGGAGCGAATCCATCCGAACATCCCAGCGCAAATCGGTCGTCGGAACCGATTTGCCCGTGTCGTCAGAGGGGGTCGTCGGAGCCGGGCCCGACGAGGCGGGCAACTGACGCGCGTGCGGGCCCGCCAGCCTGGCCCAGGGCCGGGCCGAGCGCACGACCGCCGCCCCGCAACCCCCCTGCGTGATTGAACAGCGCCCCACGTTACCGGGTGGGGGCGGCGAGCTGGCGAGCCCTCGCGCGAGGGAAAGTAACCCTCGCGCGAAGGCAGCCCTCCCGTGCCCGCTGCCCGCGACGTCCTAGTGACCCTCGCGACCTGCCCGGACGGGCAGGCGAGGGCCATGCGAAATTCGGGTGCTCCCCTCGGGAAGCTCGACGATTTCGCGACCCGTTGCGATGACGCCGCGTGCTCGCACGCGGGTTCGCATCGGGTGCATGCAAAATTTCGAGCCCGGCGAAATCGGCTCGCTCGCATCGCGGCGCGGGGTTTTCGCGATCCGGGGCGAAGTCGACACGTGTCGGCCGAAACGAGGCACCGCGCGCATGCGAAATTGCGTCCCCTCGCCGAGCGAAGCCGGGGGACGCGAAGTCGACGTGCTGGCTCGGCGGCGAAGGAGCGCTTGTGCATGCAGCCCGCCAAACCCTGCCGAGCCAGGCACCACGAACCCTGAGCGATGCCTCAACCGGCCTGTGGGGCACCGACTCCCTTTCCTTGGCGGAAGGAGGCATCGCTCCTCATTTTCGGCATCTCGTTTCACTTTCAACATTACTCCCACATTCTCGTCCCTTAGCCTGCAGTCAATTCCCTTCAACGCAATGGAGGCCGACCCGAAAGCCGGCGAAGCGGCGCCGACCGTGCAGGACTTCCCTCTGTATCTCGACCTCGGTAGTGGACTCACTGCCAAGCTCGAGGAACACGACTACGCCGTCCTCGTAGACCATAGGCTAGAGTTCAACGCCCGTTGCTTGGGATTCGGCATCAAGTGAGTATGCGTATGTGGATGTCGGCGTCGACATCTTCTTACATTGCTGGTCGACGCAGCGTCGGTGTTAGGGTTGTCCCACGTCGGAGGCGGCGCTACGAGTTCACGTCGACGCCGACAGTAGGTCGGTGTCGGCACAGGCATTAGGCACGCATCGGTCGGCTCAATTGATTACAACGTCGCGAGGGTGGTGCACCGTCGTACGATTGCCATCCCCGTCGGTCGGCGGTTCCTAAACCAACGTATCCACCGTCGTGTCGTGCACATACTCACTCACTCCTTATTCCCATGCATGCGTGCAGGCACGCATGGACTCGCGCGGCGCCGGCCAACATACGATTGTGGTCGATAGGACTCGGCCGGCTTCGGGCGGCGATGGGTCGGGCGGACCACACATGCTTTGCGACGGTTTTCGACGCCGACGTAGCGGTTATCCCCTTGACTTCGAGGTGAGCTGGTTAGAAGTCGTCACGATGTGTGTTGCATCCTATGTCGGTGCTCTGTTCTGAACGACGTCGTCGTGCCTTGCCTGTGCAGCATCGCACCGCTTCCAGGAGCACATTGCAGCATCGTTGTCATCCTGTACCCCGGCGACCTGTTGAAGGGTGGGGGGGAGAAGATCAGGACCTCGATCCGGCACTTTGACCCGCAGACCGTGAAGCAGTGGCACCGCGACGAGGCGATCCGCGTGCTGAAGTGAGCTCGATAGTGTAGTCGACGACGCATGCAATTTCGCCGCGCAGCGTAAACCATGCTTACCGACAATCTGTGCCATGTTGCTTCAGGTTTTTCCGGGCGGCGGTCCTGGCCGAGCTTGGGTGCGATGGTAGGAAGTGGGAGTGGGCGAAGCCTTCCGATGAAGAGGTGGAGGACAGGCTCGCCGACTGCGATCAACCCGTTCGAGATGTGAGTTCCGAACGAATCACCGTCCTATGTCATCCTTGCGCGATGCGATTGCCGAACGCGGTGCTCATCCTTGCGCTCTGAACTGTTGTATGCAGAAAGTGCCCGACGCCGTCCGGGACAGGGACGCGGGCTCCGGCCTGCTAGCAATGAGCGCGTTGTGCTGGGTGGTGAGGAGGATGGATCTCCTGACCGGCGCCATCCGTCGCAGTGAGACCAGCATGGACAAGGTCAACGTTTCGGGGTTGAAGGGGCTGCGGAATGGGATGATAACATTCGTCAAGGAGCACGTCGCTCTCAAACGGTCGGGCCATGTCGGAGTTGCTGCCGACGCCTGTGACGACGACGGCGAGGAGGCCCCTTTGGCATCTACAGCAATAGGTGTCGCCTACACCGTCGATGATGCGCGTGGGACTTCGATCGGAGAGCCCGGAGGCGGCGTCGACAAGGAAGATGAGGAGGCAGGAAGGGCGGTGACTGGGACCGCGGAAAAGAACCAGGAGGATAACGAGGATCAGGAAGAGGACCATGAGGATCGTGAGGAGGAGGAGGAGGAGGAGGAGGAGGAGGAGGAGGAGGAGGAGGAGGAGGAGGAGGAGGAGGAGGACGAGGAGGACGAGGAGGAGGAGGAGGAGGAGGAGGAGGAGGAGGCGGAGGAGGCGGAGAAGCAGCAAGAGGGGGAGCAGGAGGAAGAGGTCGAGTGGGAGTTGGAGGAAATGGAGGTGGAGTACGTAGAGGGAGCGGCGGAAACGGCTGGGAGGTCGGCAGATGTTGTGAACAAGGGAGGGGAGGATGCCGACGAGGAGAAAGTCGGCGTGGAGGAGGCTCACGGGGGGGGTGAGAAGGTCGTGGTCGGCGATGTGGATGGCGACGCGAAGGAAGTTATCGACCTCGAGGTCGTTGGAGAAGGGGATAACGCCGCGGCCACGAAGCCGACGGGCGTGGAAGCGCCTACCGAGACCACCGCAGGGAAGGCCGGGGGGGAGCGGTCTAGG